CTGCACACCTTTCATCCCCAAGTCACTGCATTGGTTGCAGCACAAAACTCAGCTGAGTTCCGTGAAACAAAGAGCATAATTAAACTATATATGTTCTGGAAATCGGAAAGAGATCTGGCAACACTTTGATAAGAAAAAGAAGCCCTTTCTCTGTATGGAGACAGTAACTTACACCCTGAGGATTCAGTGTGCTTCCTAAGAATACCAGAGTAACCTGAAACGGAGCCAAGATTTCTCCAAATTCCAGTGTAGTATCTTAAACCACAAGACCATCCCTTCACCAACACACTAAATAACTCGAGCATTTCAGCTGATAAGATAAACCCCTTACATTTGCAAAGATATTATTGAAGTGAAAAAAAAATCAATTCAGATTTTAAAAGCAAGATTTCATATTAATTTCATAAAAATATATGTCAATATAGCTGATTTAATGCAAGCATCTTTAGAGGTTATAGAATTAGCCAGATTTTAAGGCTATTTGCAGCAGGTTTCCAGTAGCAGTTCATTTTTCATCTTCCGCGGTGCCATTTGGTATTTAATGAATATTCATAAGTTCTGGTCCCTTCTAAAACTAAAAAGAGGTTTTCTTGAATCCTGTTCCTTTCCTCCTTAAAAGTTTAATTTAAAAAGGCTTGAGTCCTATCAAATTCCTTGACTTGGACCAAGGTACCTCTTGGGTATTACTTTGACAGAATGAGGTTTGTTTAATGATTATAGCATTAAAACCTCATGCTCTGAAGACATGCATTAGCACGCTGGGGAACATGGCATAAAAACAAGAGATGAAGCAGGGTTTCTTTCCTTCCTTCCTTTCTTTCAACAAATCAGTTACTAGGCAGTTACTTAGACATCTTCTTTATCACTTTGTCAATGGACCATTTTCCCCAAAATGGTTATTCCTTAGTCATCTTATGCCCAGTCTTGCTCCTGTTAATGCTGAGACATTGCAAAAATCTTCATTTGTTTCAATGGTACAGGATAAGACCATCAAAGAACAACACATCTCTCAAGAACTCCCTAGTCATTTAAAAGTATTGCTGCCTGGCAAATTCAAAGCCACAAACGCACACTGAAAGCAAGGTCCATTTCTCAGGTTTGCCCCCTGGAATATACTGGTATAAAATGAGTATAAAAAGCTGGCCAGTCAGAGCAACTTTTTACGTCCCTCACACTGGTGTAAACGCCACCACCACCTGTAGAGCCTCTGGTGACACGGCTCTACTATTACATTGTTTTCGTGGTTGTACAGGCCACTGTCATCTTTGTTCCCCCTTTTTTATTGCCTTATTTTTCCTACCGCTGCTAATTCCTGTGAGGTGCCTTTAGACCTCGCTCAGTATTAGTCCTTCAAATTCTTTTGGTTCTGGCTCTGGGTCCAACACCATGAAAATTACCTCTGACCTGCTGCTGTATAAGTCAACCAAACGCTCCACTCCCCGAACTCAAGGATTTTGTGTATAAAAAAAGTCTCCCAATTTCTTATTAGATCTTTCCATATTTAATTCCAACTGGCTGCAAAATGCCTTTCACCGGTTCTGAGGTACTCGGTAAGTGCTCAGGGAATCATAGGACCACATAAGAATTCAGGTTGGAAGGGACCCCAGCAGATTTCTAGCCCAACCTCTTGCTCAAAGCAGGATCAGCTATGAGATCAGATCACGTTTCTCAAGGTTTTATCTAGCTGGGGCTTGAAACCTTCCCAGGACAGAGACTGCGCAGTCTCTCTGAGCAACCTGTTCCAATGCGTGACTGTCCTCATAGGGAAAAAGTTTCTCCTTATGTTCAGCCTCAGCCTCTTATTTCAGCTCAAGTCTGGTGTCTCTCATACATCACTGTGAAGGGTCTGGCTCCATCTTTTTGGTAACATCCTTCTACACACTGAGGGCTGCTGCTAGTCCCCCCATCCCACCCCAGCAAGCTGCCTCTTCCCCAGCCTGAACAAGCCCAGCTCCCTCAATCCCCTGCTCACAGGGCCAAGTGCTCCAGCTCTGAGCATCTTGGTGGCCCTCTCCTGAACATGCATTGGAGTGTAAGTTCCAGCACTGGAGATCCAAGAACTGGAGTCTAAAAAGTGCAGAGTAAAGGGGAATAATGACTATCCTTGATCAGCTCGCTATGCTCCTGTTAATACTGCCCACGATTCTGTTAGCATTCTTTGCTGCCCAAGCACAGCACTGGTTCATTTCATCTTCCTGACCATCAAGACCACAGGTCCTCTTCATAAAAGCCACTCCCCAGCCAGCCAGCCCCAGGCTGAATGGGGTGCAAGGGACTCAGCCTTCCCAGCTGCAGAACTTTGCATTTGTTCTTGTTGAATTTCGTAATGTTCCTGTTGACGCTTTCTTCCTGACTACGTCTGGTCCCTATGCCTAGGTCCCTATGAATAGCAGCCCTACTCTTGAGTCTATTGACTGTTACCCCTGATTTGGTGTCATCTGCAGGTCTCATGAGAGTACACTCTGTCCCATGGCATCCTCAAGATCACTGTTAATATGAAGATCTTTTTTCTTACTAGGTAAATCACCAGAATAAGCATTTTTTTCGTATACATCTGCAGCTGCTCTTTGTCAGGAGTAGTAAAAAGGTATAAAATGTCCACCAAGGAAAGGACATTTTGGGTTGTGTTTTTGCCCCCAGTGGTAATCAGCAACTAACAGTCCCAAGTAAAATGCCACATTTTTCAACACCTATGGTTAACAACTGCTAGATATGTTTGCCCAAGACTATTTTCCTGGCTTATGACCATGCCTTAGATTTTATCTTCAAATAAAATTTAAATATCCTTTTCATGTCACTTTCTTCAAGTTCTTTTCCATCATATTTTTCCATATCAAAGCAGCCTGTAAAGTCACTTTAATTCCTGAGAAATTTTCAACAATCACATCACTTTTCCATAGCCGTATCTGGAAACAGTTACACTACCTTGGCTTAATCTTCACATTAGTTTCCATGCTCCTTTCATGCTCTGCTTTTTTTGAGCCACAAATCCACTGTTCTATCCCCTTATTAGATTTCAAAAAAATCAGAGTCACAGGGATGAACAACACTGGAAATATCCTCCCGAGTTATTGATTTCACTCATAATATTATCACAATATACTTTTATAAAATCCGTACAAACATTGATCGCATTTCTTCTTTTCTTTGATAGTTACTGAATTGAAGTTATTTTCTTTCCTGCAGACTTACTTTCTAACACTCGTACAACTATTTTCCTTATACCTCTTTTGTGTAAAGTAAGAAAGATTGATCTTGATTCTTCTTTTTCACAGAGGTCTATAAAGTTCGAAGTTTTGTGCATCTGCAATGAAACTACAAGGTTTCCATCTATGTTTATGCTGAAATGAAAACAACTTTTTCTTCCTTTCAACTTCACCTCACAGTGCCTTAATTCTAAAAAAAGACAATATGATAGTAAAACAGAACTAGAAAAAATTTTAAAATAGCTTCAATTTTTTCTGGTAGCGCTCTGGATGCAGTCAGCTCTGTACACATGGGTGGAGACACAGACTACCTTCCTATGGACTGCATTCAACAGATGAGGACTTAGAGGAAATGAGCACAATGGTTATGTACTAAAACTCAACACTTACCAAACCAATATAAGCCACCTCTCACATATAAGTGTGTATGCGTATTCATGGCTACATAGTAAACAAATATCGGTAGTTTAGTTTGCCATGTTTGCAATCATTCATATATTATCAGAAAGGAAAGAATAGCAACAGGATTCAATGGAAAATTTGAAACACCACAAGTACACGTATACGAACAGACACTGATTGAAATATGCATTAGTTAACAATACATTATTGTTAAGACTGAGGTTTGTATGTGAAACTCAAATCTCCGCTTGATATTAAATGGCTGAATGCCAATTCCCAGTTTTGTATACCACCACTTCAGAGAACAAATTAATGTTCCACATTAAACTTTTTACAGATTAATTACTGCCTGGGATATGAGTAAAAATGTTATTTAACTCCCAAGTTACATCTGTATTTATATTAATCCAGTTACTCTGCTAAACTGATGTCAGCTCAAAGTGGTCAGCTAAAATACCGCTCCAGCAAACTGAGTAGGAGTTAACAAGTCAAGCAGATCAACAAAATCAATATCAGCTTCTAAAGTAAATAGGAAAATAAAATACAATTATGCTTTTTAATATATTCTTCTAAGACAAGACACCAAGTGTTGAAGGTTTGGAGGTCCTGCATGTATTTGGGGGACAAACCACGATCGAACAAACAAATATTTTTAAGACTAGACATGGAAAGTATGTGCAAGTGGGAATCCAATAAAGGAAAGATTCAAGAAAGAATGATTGTACTCGAGCTATGCTTGGGACAGAAATCAGTTTCATTGGCTGGAAATAATAGTTTAGATTGATACTAGGAAAATACCAACTATAAGGACCATAAAATACTGTAAGAGAGAGATGTAAAAATCTCCTCCATTGCAAGTTTTCTAGAACAAAGTTAGACAAACATCTGTCAGAAATGAACTTGCTGTATTGATCCTGCTTCAGCCCTAGGGAGGGGCTCAGTTGGGCTTGCTTCCCATCCTACATGTTAAGGACTCTAAGTTTAACTTAGAAAAGGAAAAAAAAAAAAAGACAAAAAAGCATATGAACTCAAGGTGAAACACCTCAATGAAAAAAAAACCCCTCTTTTACATTTTTCCTCATAGGACATTTCTTAATGTTTGGGGGTTTTTTATTTATTTATTTGGAATGAACAGGGTGTGGCCCTTACCCACATACAGACTGACTTCTTTCCTCATTATATTAACCCTGAATAATCTGAAATTTATCTTTTAGAGAGATGGGGAAATCACTTACCACATCCTATGAAAGCTGGTATATTCCCCCTGCTCTAAACCTTGCAACTCTCTAGTCATACAATCAACAAAAAGCTCTCAGTGCACAGTCACAATCTATTAACAACAATCTGCCACATTTTAAGTAAGTGAAATATTTCTGATAGTGCATACTTTACCAGTTATGTCATGCTGTTTGAATGACTCACTGTAGATTTGATACTGATTAGGGCAATGTTTCTTCAGCCATTTGCAGACATCTTGCTGGGTCCATAACGCCACAGGCTTGGTCAGCTTCACAGTCCCTGACTAGAAACACAGAAATGAAGAACAGAAATGATGTTTAGTCCACATACAAGTTTCAGAAATATTAATCTGTGATGTCCATATACGGTATTAAAATAATAAATGCAAGATAGGAGCTGCTCTGACTGGCAGATATCCAATAATCACCACGTTACAAGATACTTCTTGAGCATTGGAATGTTTGAAGACTAGAGGAAAGTCTGTCATCCCTTGAAAAATAAATTGTTAATGGCTTTTCTTGTACATCAAAAGCACATTACACAAGACCCAGCTATTCAAATACATCACGCAGGAATCACACACAGTGAAAGGTTCTTTAACATTATTTTGCATTGCATCCATGTTCCTTGCATCACAGAAACATATTGCACCATGTCTGACTTGAGTAACAGTTTAAAAAGTGACTAACTGACTGCACCCGAAGGGCAATAGTTGCAGCCTTTGAAGCCTTCAAATTCACAAGAGGTATGTACGTTTGTGTCCCAGTTTGGATATAACCATGGAAGACCAGGAGTATCCTCAGGCCAGGCATGTTCCTCAGTTACAATCAGAAAAGATCTTGCAACAAAGCCCTTTAGTGCAAACAAGCTTAAGGACTAATTCTGCCTGGGAAAAGGAGACTACACACCAATGGAGGTAGAGCTGGTGATATCTGTTCATACTGAGCATTTCAGCTGACATCGTTCCTAGTTTGAGTGATGTTTACAAGCAGTTTTAGTTTTTCTGCTTCCTTTTTACCTTTAACCCTACTACAATCATCATTATGTGAAATAAGTAGGACTCCTGCTTAGAACAGTTGCACCTTTATAAATAAAGACCACTGTTCAATACTTTCCTGAAAATTCAGTTTTATAATAGATTATCTGAACAGATTAACAGTTTATACATAAAACATTCGTAAATTAAGTCAATTGCGTTATGTATAAAGTCACATTTCATTTAATCAAACAATTCACCTTTGCACATACACTTTTCTTTAACCATATAAAAATGGTGAGTTCTAGACGACCTGAACTGCAGGGATTTAGAGCCTCTTGTCAAAGTAGGCAAAACCACAAAAAAAAAGAAAATATATTCTAAGTGATTTCTTCTTTTTTTTTGCAACAGTCTGCTCAGGAGACTAAGAAAATCTTAAATAGAGGGGAGGTTATTACCGAAAATAAATGTTTAACATTGGACATGGCTGATGTTAGTGGGTGTGAACACCAATGTATCCATTTACTTTATGATTTTGTCAAAGAACTGAGTCTATGGAATAAAATCAAAGTATCTTTGTTCCCACACTGTGCATGCAGAATACCTGTCCTCCAGCTCCTTGGTGGTGTAGAAGGTTCAAGAGAAGTTTTTCTGCACAAATTTGAGGTGAAGGGGAACATTATCTCAACCATTCTTCTCCATTAGGACTCATGGCAGATTCCCTCGATGTTGCCAGCCAGGGTTTATCCCAGCATTTACGCAGATGTACTTTGTCAGAAAGACCTTTTCAAAGTTGCTTTGAAATTTTTCATTACTAGAAGCCCAAAGGACCAAACCAGTTTTAAGCTTGTGCTTTGCATGTCCTATTAAGTCCATAAAGTACATCATGCAAAGATATTAAGTTAGAGCCAGGGAATATGGCAGAGCTAAAATTCCAACGGGCAAACATGTCTTGAATTTCTCATGTACAGTTTTCCCTCTCTCTTTTTCATTGCCTAGGTAGAAGTTAAATAAGCAGCAGGAAAATTATAGTTGAATATATAATACAATGCATATCCCTTAGCTCAGCCTTTTTTGTTTTGAACAAAAATACACTCACCAGAAACATGAATCCAGTTTCAAACATACAAATAGGCACCATCCACATTTAGAGGTATCACAATAATGCACCAAACCACCTCAAATAATTGATTCTCATCTTTTGCTGCCACCCACCAACCTGCAGCAGGCACAAGCCTGACTGACAGACTTGGCGTCCACAAAAAAAACCAAAAAAACCAAACTTCCAGAGGTGTTGACGGTGCACTGTAACTAGGACAGCGCTTGCTCTAACACGATCCTTTCTGAGAAGCACATCAGCCTTCTGCACATACAGAAACCTGCTCTGGACACTGCATAGGTCTGGCGAAGGGTCTGGAGAAGGGGCAACCTCTGTAGGGAGAGCAAGCGCCCTGTAACTGTTCCTCATGCAAGTAAGAAGATCAAAGGCCCCTCTTTGCACTTCTCTAGCCTACTTTTTACTGCTGTTTGAGTCAAAGAAGAAACTGAATTTCAATGACGAGCCCGATATTATGGTATCAGTTAGCTGATTTTTATTACACACATATATAAATGCGTGTCCTTCACAAATACATCAAAGAAAAAACCAAGGAAAAATAGCTATATAACACAAGCAGTCTCTCTGATTCCATAGAAATCCCTGAACAACAGGGTCAAGACTTCAATGTGTATCTTTATATGAGTTCCTGCTTAAATTTAAAGATACTTCTTGAGCATTGGAATTTTTGAAGACTAGAGGAAAGTCTGTCATCCCTTGAAAAATAAATTGTTAATGGCTTTTCTTGTACATCATAAAAATACTTAAATTACAAATATTTGTATACAAATATATATAGCTAGCTATAGATTTACAAGCTATTTATTCCTAGCTGAAAGTACACAAGTAGTACCAATGTCTGTTTTAACTAAGAGGTTGCTCTTCTCAGTTCAGCAACTATTCTCTTAAAAGGTTTACGCACCATCATGTTAAATATCTGAAGAGCAAGTTTATCAGCAATTGCAGTACAAATTTAACATTTCCCTCTCTGCCTGTAGAACTGAAAGACAGTTCCAAATGTAGCTATAATGCCATGCAATATACAGATCTCTGCACAGCAAACATACATGCTGATTTTTTACTGTCCAGTTTTCAGAATTATGATTGAAACGTTTGACTTAAACTTATAACTGCAGTCCAAAGAGGACATTTTTACATTGACACCATCAACTGTTATGTTTAATTTTCTAATTCATAAGGACTTGATGAGTTAGAGAAATACAGAGTTTTTAAAGCAATGGTTATAAAAAGTATAATGTTGTCGCTTTAATTTTTGGAACATCATACCCAAAATATTTTCCAACCAGATGCTCTAAATGAAGGGCTATTAAAAAATATGCTTCCCTCCCACAAAATTCATTTGTTAGTTTCTTCCCTGCTCTAAAGCCAGATCTTATACTAAAAAAATTGCCAGTAAACCAAGGAAAATTACCCTTACTATAAACATACCTACCAAATGAGTCCCCTGCAACTAACTATATATAAACTACCTAGACAGGTGGAAAACATATTATGTTTTACTTTATTTCTGTTTATCAGCTCAGTCAAACAATAGGCCACACTGATTAAAATAAAATAATATATAAAAAAAATCTTTGGTCCGGCCTTCCCTTTCATTTTCCTGATTATATCAGGAAATATAAACTCATCCTAAGATCACCTTTAGCTGGCAACACTTTAATAGTTTTAATCCTGCCAAATGCTAATGCCAACTCATGTGCTAGATATAGATCTAATGAGAATAAAAGTCTTCAGTATTCTGATCTTTTTTTGTATATTTGAAGGAAAACTTGTTTCTTCAGGATTTTGTGTCAAACACTTTCTTCTAAATTGCCTAACTGCAGTTTTTGCTATGTGTATCTCAAACTATAAAAATGACTTCCAAGAAGAAAAAAAAATAGCATATTTAATACGTGACACTATTTCATGCTGTCTTTGTTCCATGCTGCAGGGAAGACAGTACTTAAAATCACCAACTCAAGAATAAATAAATAAACAAAAAAATCAAACTTACAGCCTGCGCACTGCTAGAAAGTGTATTTCAGTGTTCAGAATAGCATTAGCAACCAAGCCCCACTCTTCCTAAGCAATGACATACAAGTTCTCTCCTCAGCCTGCCAGGTGCAGTTTACCAAGCCTGCCAATTCTGAAGGTCAATTTACTCACCAGAATTTCTTTGTCTGTATTTATTGTACTTTAGTCCAGAAAAGAAAGAAAGGCGTCCCACGTATTTTTGAGTGACGGAGGATTCAATCTCGTTATTAAAACTACTTCACGTACTATAAGCCAAGTTATTTAAAAGAGCTTCTCCAACCCAAACATTTTGTGCATTTACAAATCTGCTCAGATTACAACATCCAGGGATTGTGGACATCAGGGTCCTCAGTCAAACAGGGCTGCCTGATACCTTTTGTAACATCCAATTTGCCAACATACTGATCCTGACATATGCATTAACTTCGCTTATATTTACATTCAAATTTATCCAAAGTCAGACCCTACAGTTTCTGCCTAAAAAAACGCTTGTATGAAACAGAGATGGATAAACAAGGCGCTGCTCAAAGCATTAAGGCAGATTCTGCTCCAACACACATCACGAGAGACTGCTCTGGAGTTTACAGTTTAACTAGAAAAAGACAAAGCAGGACCAATTTTGTTATAGCTGTGTTGGTCAAAGGACATAAGCAAAGCAAGGCTGCAAGGAGAAGCACCATCATTCATTAGACCAGCAGCGCAGAGCTCTGCCATCTGTGTTTCAGACACGAAGAAATCTTCACACGGAGTAGACGTGGAGTGCAACTGCTCAGTGTTGAACCATTACATTAACCCAGTTAGGCAGTTCAAGAGAAAAGGGCGCTGATAGCTGCGAGGGGAGGTATGGGAAGTGCAAAGAAAAGAAGTAATAAGGTCACTGCCAGCTAGTAGGGACAGAGAGAGTGAGATGGGTGGCTGTCACCCCTAGAATAATGCACAGTCAGCTGGGGCAGGAAACATTAAAATGTGTCAGAAAACCATTGATGTGTCTGTGATCAGAGAGAGAGAGACTGGGAGGAAAGAAACGGGATCACTTCATGCGTGACGTTGAGAAGGAAATATTTGTTAAATCAAAACATAATGTCTTCTGCAAGCAAACTATAAAGGCCCAATGCTATATTTAAAAATGAGAAAAATAAAATTTTATGTGTATCTGATATAGATACATATAGCAGAG